CCTACGCCGTTGCCCTATTGCACCAAGGAAGGAAGAGAAGAGCCTAACAAAGGAAGTTCCAGACGAGAAGAGTCGGGGCACCCATTATCCAGGTGTCGGGACGTCAGGAGTTCAGTGAAGGGGAAGAGCTGTAGTGAGAGGACAGAGTCAGTCTGGGTCACACGTCAGCTCTCCAGCTCTGATGTGCTTCCACCTCCTCTGGCACCACCAGCAGGAGTTCACAGTTCTTTCCTCTCAGCTGGTGTTTCAAAAATTTCCTATCATAAAGGGAAATAGAAATAAGCACTACTGAATGTAGAACTTTGTTGTCTTCTATAAGAACTAAATGCAACTAACTATGCCAACATGACAAGAAATGGGAGGAAATCCCCACACGCTGTCTTATTTTCTGACAATAAAAAAAACCCCAACGTTAAACTTGCCCTACTAGATTCAGCACACCTCTACACAGCAAGTTATTGCAGACTCAGATAGACATGATCTTAACCTCAGCAGAGATAAGTCTACGTAGATGTCACTTTCCAATTTTCCAAGGAGGCAAAAATAGAATTAAAACCAAGTTCAGTTTCTTCAGAGCTCTGAGATCAAAAATCCCACCACATTTTAAAATAATTCCAACAAATCTGGAATACTTGTGGGTAAACCCCCCCCACCATTTAGATGTGCCTATCACAGCTCATAGTAGCAGCGTACCACCTGGTCATCTGACACGGTTCTGCAGCCCCTTTCTGCCCATACGCTTTTTCTAATACCAGACTTGGATTATCTCCAATAACTATGACAGTCAAATCAATGTTTTCTCCAATATCTTTCGGCCCAGATTTCCAAAATTCCCTATATAGGAAGCCCTTATTTATTGCTGAAGAACAGCACACCCAGGATAAAATCCACCAGAAGCTCTGCTCAGTAGTTCCAGAACTGCGTTACTTTATCCCAGAATTCACAAAAGGCTGACATTCACTTTACCAAAATTTTAATAGCATGGTAGACTCTGCAAACGTTGCTTGTGTGCAATACCTGCCTCAGAACACATCCAGCTGAGGCAGCAAAGCTGCTAGTAGGCTTTAGAACGGGACAGAATGGAAGCTGAAGAACAACTAAGAGCAGGTCAGACTTTACAAAGCAGTTACACCAACCAACTTGTGTTAAGATTAAAGAGGGGAAGGGAGTCAAGAAGCACAGTGTTTGCTTACACAGGAAGTGATTCCTTAGCAAACAGCTTTCACTGCTGTCGGGGATGAGGCTTTCAGTCTGGAAAGCCTTTCCTTGGGAACATACACACAGATCACTAAAAAGACAAAGGAATGCTGATACTCTCGCATTTGAGGAGAGAGCGAGGCACAGCACATCTCGTTGCAGGCGTCACCCGCAGGTCACACCAGGCTTGGCCTCTACCTTTGTCACTACTGACAGAGCCAGCCACGTAAGAGATGAAGTCAGGTTCTCCTGAGCTCACAGACATCACTGCCAAAAGCATTTTCCTAGCTTTGTGCAAACGGGGTATAAATCTAAGAGGAGGCACAAGAACCTTACTACTCTCAAATCTTTGCTATTGAAGATCAACCATAAATGTTTCAATCACTAACTGTTTAAGGACAGATTCCCCACCTCCAACAGGAAGGATTTGAGGAGGAACAGGATAAAAAAAAAAAAATCCTACCTGAGCTCACTTTCACCTCCAATCCATTCGGGCACCTTGAGTTTGGAGTCGAGGTTGTAGTAGGTGCCTCCCACCTCCCGAACGCAGATCCAGTGCTGTCGTTTGAGGGGGAGCTTCAAGGGGCCCCAGCAAAGGCTGGAGGGCAGATTCATGATGAAGCCCATCACGTTAGACAGGGCAATGACGTTAACATCCCTGAAAGAGCGCAGAAAACAAGACAGCAATAAGATTATATTCTGGTACTTTAGCTTCATCTCTCGTTTTTACAAACAGAAGCCATCTCCAGAGTTACATGACTTCTCTGTACCTGCGCTTGTCCCACCAAACCGCCTCATAGCCTTTGGTCTGAAGTGCTGCCATGATCACGTTCACATCATAGTTTCCATTTCCCAACATGCTCTTCTTGTGGGGCGTCACCATGGTGTTGGGAGACAGCCTGTGAACAGAACAGGAGACTGGTCTAGTGGGGTTTGCTGAACCTATATTCCACAGCTGGAAGGGGCTACTTGCTGTGTAACTTGAAGCCCATTTTCAGGATTTTTGTGTTTAAATGCAAATTATTCCATTCCCCCTTCTCACTCAGACGGGCTGAGAGGGCTAAATTAACACATTAACTTTGATGTACAAAGCCTCCTAAGATCCTAGCTTTGCTGTGAAAGAGACAGCAAAGCAGGAAGCCTTTCCCACCCCCCCCCTTGAAGTAGTACTTCTATAGGATGCTTCAATTATTTTTTCCTCCAATTCACAGTTGGAATAAATGCCAGTCTGCCATTTAGAACAATGGCTATCACAATTTCAAGAGTTCAATGGTCAACAACAGTCTTGAAAATTGGCTGAGATAACAGGAGGCAGGAAGGGTTGGAAGCTGGGAAGATACTTGGGTTTAGGAGCTTCTTAAAGCATTGCCATTGCTATAAGATAAAAAAAATAAAAACCTGTTGCTGTAGGTAACTAAACAGCTAACCTTGTTGCAAACAAATCTCTTCAGCTTTAATCCATAAACTTGCCTAGACGTCACTTGCGCTGCTACAGCATGTAAAAATCCAGAATCACAGTCCATAATGTTACATGCAAAAATATGACAGCCTTTGTACAAATGCAGATAATGGAAGCAAGGCATAAAACATGGAGACGTGGCAAAAAAAAAAAAGTTAGACACTTTTATTTTACGTTCCCCCGCTCTGCCCCCCCCCAAGAAATTTTGTAAGGAGGGGAAACAACAAGGGGGTGAATTATTATGAGGGTGAAAGATGGGCTTCAACAGCTGGAAGAGAAACCGGGAGCAGAGAACAGCAAGGTCATGCAACGCCAAACCAAAGAAAGCAAGCCTGGGATCAGTTCTGTTGTGACGAGTTGCTCTTTTGATTGGTAAGGACTCCATTAGTTCTGCTGGCACAAGGTTCAGATGCTTCGTATCATCCAAATATTCATATTTCACCTGCCTCTCCCTCACATCAACCCCGTTCCCCAAAACTCCTGATGTTCCTGCATGTTTTTCACTTGGCCTTTAGCACAGCACAAGTTCTGCAGGCATATTTCATCCCATGAAAATCCCTCAGCCCTTCTGCATTCCTCCCCTGAAAAGACAAGGCATTAGATGAGAAGAAGCAAGCAGTGGATTGAGCAGGGAGTTTCAGAACCACCAAGGCTAAAGAGGCTACAGACAGCTGGCTTTTTGCATCAGCTGTGCGTTTTCTCGCAGTGGAGCAGACTGCAGCAGAACAGCCTGGGAAGAAACTTAACTACAGAAGGGAGAAGAGTCCAAAACAACATGGTAATAGGAAAAGGTATTACTACCCACCACCGGGCATTTCTGGGTGAGGCAGTGACATTTTCAGAGAATCATGGTTTCCAGTCTCCAAAGCTCTGCTGTATTTTACTAATCACAGTGATGCAACTGTAGCTTGTCACAGCTCTTCCAGCATCTTCATAAAGCAACATCACTTGGCTACAACTAGTTTCTCAAAATCATTGCTTCAACCTATTAACTCTCACGAGTGCCAGCAAGCTAAGGAATCCTTCCAATTAACAGAGCCCTTCGGGTTCCACAAGCACCCTCTTGTGGCACCGTTTTCCAGAGACAAGCTTATTTGAGAGCTGAAAGAACACATTTATCTTTGTTCGGTCCTGTAACTTTCAGAGCCCCAGAAATGAGATGAAGAGACCAGCAGAGGTGTCACACCTAAAGAACTGGTACCCTGAGCAAACTTTCACTAAGAATGGCCTCAACGTCTCCACTCACACAGACCTAGAGTCCACAATCATCAGCTGAACGATTCTGTTTCAACAAGGAATTAAGTTGCTTCCCCAAAGTTGTGGAGTTTTTAGTTTTTGAGGTTTTTTTTATCTAGACACTAAGCTGAGGAAGACTGACAAAGTTGGACAGAAATCCAGGTAATAATCCTCCTGAGCTTTCTAAGTCTGAAACTTTCGTCAACATGTTGTCTTAACACAACAGGCTCCAAGATTCCTGCACGCAGTTGTCTTTCCTAATCAGTCTCAATACACAGACTCTAGCGAAGCAAAGAGGTTTTTGTTTTTATCTCCATGCAACATTTGGAACATGCAGTCTTACTTCTTGCAACAAAAGCCAGAGGAACATCAAAAATACATTTCTTGTGCTAGAGGAAAGAACAGAGGAAGGACTACAAAAATCAGAGGGGAGCTTGGACCAAGTTTTGGCATACACCCGAGATAATAATCATCAGACTACACTGGTCTTATGCAATGGGATGCAGCAATGCAGTTCATAATCCTTCTTCAAGGGATGTGGCAAAAGCTACAGAAAGCTTAAGCTTATTTGTGATTTTGTTACCTTGTCAACACTGGGTTTAAAAATCACACTTTGCAACATTTTTGTAGCTTATTAGAAATATTCGTCAGTCCTTTACCAGACTCATCAACACAAAGAATATGACCAGATGTAGGAAAGACATACAGAAAAGTCATATATAAAGGGCAACTAAACCCATGCTTCTTAAAGGCAAGTCAAAGAGCCAGACATGAGTAGCAATCCAACAGAGATGCAAAGGTAGTGGCAAATCTTAGGCGTATCTTGTAGCTCATCTATTTCTGAGAGGAATTTCCACATACACTTCCATACTACCATGGGGCTGAATCAACCTGCGTATCTTGATCCTAATATGAGGATGGAACAATACTAGGTTGGAATCCAAGACAAATTCTCCCTTCTAGGGCAAGAGGTCTGACCAGATTAACATCCCAGTTCTTTCTGTGAGGTTTCATGCTCCACAGTAATTCTCTCATTGAACCCAATGAAAGCCAACTAATTAGATCATCACACTCCTTCTACCACATGAACTGCCTTTGTTTGCTTCAGGCCAATAGCAATCCATTTGATTAAGATTCTGACAATTGCTGCTCTGGAACAAAACCACAGCGTCTTCGCACTGGACAAAGACTGCCTTGAGCCTGCTGTGGACCAGCTCCACTTCACCAACAGGAATGTTATTTATAACGCTATGATAAATAGCGTTTCAATCTGGTATTTGCTGTTGTCCATCACCACATTTCTTTAAGACAGGTGTGAGTTTGATGAGTCAAGCACTAGTTCCATAAATCTGTCAATTTTCAGGACAGCAGCAACAGGCTCGCAGCGCCCTGCTCATCAGCACAGGGTACCACGTCTGCCTTGCCCAGCAGTACCTGCGTAACCACTGCCACGAAGTGCAATTTCCTACCTGTCACAAACACAAAATGCCATCAACCGCTGGTAAAGGGTATTCAAGCGTAACCTATGCAATGAGTACAACGTCCACAGATTATCAGAGGAGACCCCATTGCATATTTGATTACTTCGCTTCATCAATGAAAGGTCATCACAATTTTCAAAGGCACGCTCAGAATTTCCACAAAGCGCCAAAACAGCACAACGTAAACATTTAGCAAAATATGAGCTCTTTTACAGGCCACATTAATAATTTACATTTATCCCAGTGAAACTCAAAACCTGCTTTTATTAATTATTTGAAGCTGCTGGGAAACATTTAGCAATGCACAGAAAATGGTGATCTAGCTACTGAAATTAAATCCAGTTTGACAGAGTACACAGGGAGAGAAGCTGCTTGGACAAAAACCGCGTATCATTTGAAGAATTTCACTTAACTGCTTGAATAAGGAGTCATTCATTTGGCAAAGTTCCTAATTTAAAAAAAAAACAAAAACCCAAACCTTAGAAGTATTGTGGTACTAAATCAAGAAGTTTTTATGATGACCCATT